TTTTCACTTTGTTAACGGTTTCCTTCACTGCACAAAAACTCTTTAGTTTGATGTTATTCTACTTATTTTTTCTTTTGTTTCCCTTGTTTGAGGAGACATGTCCCCCAAAATATTACTAAGAATGATGTCAAAGAGTTTATGCCTATGCTATGTTCTAAGAGTTTTATGGTTTTGAGTCTTACATTAAAGTCTTTAATTCATTTTGAGTTTACTCTTGTATATAGTGTAAGAAAGTGATACAGTTTTATTCTTTTGCATGTGTTTGTCTAATTTTCCCAATACCATTTATTGAACACATTTATCCCATTGTATATTCTTGCCTCCTTTATCACAGATGAATTGACCATAAATGTATAGTTTTATTTCTGGGTTATCTATACCATTGAATGTATGTGTTTGTTTTTATGCCAGTATCATGCTGTTCTGATTACTATAGTATTATAGTATATTTTAATATCAGGTAGCAGAATGTCTTTCATGAGTCTCTTAAACATTGTGGATGCTTAAAAAATTTAAGCACTTTCTTTTCTTTGTATCATTTCCTAGTTAATTTGGCATCTTTAAGTTATATCTATATATAAACAGGCCATTATTTACAATGTATGATAATTTTGAGGCATGCTTTTTTTACTGGCTACAAATAATGGTTATGGTTTCTCTTATTCATTTTTTTTCTATCTCCAAGTTTCCTGCATGGTTTAATATTGCCAGACAAGTTCTGTTGGGCTCTTGTGATGCAACTAAAGGGAAAAGGAGGACTAGGACTGAGATTTGAGGAGTATGTCTGGAAGAGGCACTTTGGAGGGAGAATCTAAAGGAGAGAGGTAACTCAAAAAACTAAAAATGGAACTCCCATTTGACCCAGTGATCCCACTTCTAGGAATATATCCCAAGAAACTAGAAACACCAATCAGAAAAGATATATGCACCCCCATTTTCATAGCAGCACAATTTACCATAGCTAAGATTTGGAAACAGCCTAAGTGCCCATCAGTAGATGAGTGGATTAAAAAACGGTGGTACATCTACATAATGGAATACTGTGCTGTGGTAAAAAAGAAGGGATTCTTACCATTTGCAACAGCATGGATGGAACTGGAGAGCATTATGCTAAGTGAAATAAGTCAGTCAGAGAAAGTTAAATATCACATGATCTCACTCATTTGTGGAATATAATGAACAACATAAACTGATGAACAAAAACTGATCCAGAGACAAAGAAGCATCGATAGACCGCCAAACCTCAGAGGGAAGGTAGGGTATGGTGGGGGTAGGGGGAGAGATCGATCAACCAAAGGGCTTGTATGCATGTATATAAGCCTAACCAATGGACACAGACAGCAGGGGAGTGAGGGCATGAGTGGGGGGTCAATGGGGGATAAGGACACATATGTAATACCTTCATCAATAAAGAAAAATAATAAAAAAATAAAGGAGAGAGGTAACATGGAAAGAGTTCGAGTGATGTGAAGTAACCATATGAAAAGAAGAGGGCTTTATGAATTGTTGCTGGGACTGATTCCCTTTGACAATGTTTGAGAAGTGGAAAAATAATTTTATTGTTTTGAAATCACTTCTTGGTTGCTTAGTTATTTTTCTTTGATAAATGAGCTACACCTAAGACCAAGTCATAGTTCACAGTTGAGACCTTAAATTTTTTGTCTATTTTACTTGAGAAAGGAACCATACCATTTGTAGTTCTAACTTTAGCATGTTAACTCCTCAATAAGTCAAGGAGAAAGCAACTTAGTTCTTACCTAATTTAAGTACCAACTAGAAGAGTTTGAAGAAAGGGCACATGGCATGTGTAATGGGCAAGTAAGTCTCTAAGACAAGGGAATCCACTGTCTTTCTGGAGGTATCTTTACAGCAGAATTTTCCAAGTTCCAAGGTTTAGACCTCAGCCTTTCAGGCCTGGAGACTTGATTTTGTGGGCCTACTGAGGGGGCATCTGCTTCTCAGAAGAGGTCTCATATTCACAGCTAATGAGACTGATGTGTTGATTAACTTGTGATTACAAAGACAACTATCCCAGAAATCAAAATACTCATCAGCTTGATTGTCAGATTGCATTCTAACAGACAAACCTTATAGCAAACCAATCAATAACCAGGCTTGAGGAGCACAGAATTGGAGCTAGAGGAGAGTCCGTCCAATGACCTGTATGCCATGTTGGGGCAAAGCAGGACATTCACCTCTACCATGGGAATAGCCATGGCCCAGAAATGTCAAACTCTAAATCTGCTGGCTAAGACTCCTTTCACCAGGAGAGAGCTTGGGTCAGCACTGCCTACGTTTGCCTCTGTGGTCTCACTTTCCTATGATTATGTGAGTGACAACCACTCTTTGTATTGAGTCTTTTTTTTTTTTTTTTTTTTCATAAATATGGGTTTATTTCAGAAACACAGTTTAACAGTAGAAAAATCACTGTAAATCACAGCATTAGAGGTTTAGAGGAGAAAAACCATATAAATTTTTTGAAAGACACTAAAAAAAAACCCCAAAAACTTCACCTAAAATTCAGCCTCTATTTATGTTAAAAATTCAATAAGGATAGATAAAAGGAACTTCCTTAATCTGATAAAGAGTGTTTGCAAAACGCTATAACAAAGTGTGGCCACATGCTAACCCGACAAGCTCAGGGAAGGCCTGTCCTGCTGCAGGGCAAGCACCCCATATACTAGTACAGTTAAAAGTGGTGATTATGGCCAGGCAGCCTGGCTCCCTGATTTTACAAACTATGTATTGTCAATGTAAGAAAACAGTCAAACCTCTGAAGAATTTTTGTGAGTTTATTTGAGCCAAACTGTTGACAACTGCCTGGAAGCAAAATCTCAAGGCATTGAGAAAATGTTTCAGAGAATGGCAGTGTTTCATCTTATTTTATACATTACAATCAAAACAGAAGACACAAGTGGGTCACAAGAAATCCATTGGTGATAGATTAGGGAGGCTGGAGAAAGCAAAGTGGGGAAAACTCTGGGATTGGATGAAAAGTAAAATGATAAGACACATCTTTTACCTAGGTGGGTATAGGATAGTTAACAGTGAACAATGAACATGATAACAATAACAATGCGAGGATTTATGGTCTCTTCCCTGGTGCATTGGTTGTGCCCTGAGGGGTTTGGAAAAAAAGGGGCTTTACACTAACATTCCAAAGACAGGCTTAGTTAAGGTAAAGATTGACTTTTGTCAGGGAAGATTATAGCCTAGGACATAACTACTTGTCATAAACTGCTTTTAGTTAAAAAGTTTTAATTTGAGTTTTTTTTAAAAAAATAATTCTTTATTATTGAAAGTATTACATATGTCCCTTTTTTTCCCTTATGGACTCCCTCCAGCCTGCCCTAACCCTGCCATACACCCTATTATCTGTGTCCATGGGTTATGCATATATGCATACAAGATCTTTGGTTGGTTGCCTCCCACGCATCCACCTCCCCCACCTTCTCTCTGAGATGCCCCACTCTGTTCCATGCTTCCATGTCTCTGGATCCACTCCGTTCATCAGTTTATTTTGTTACTTAAATGCCACATATGAGTGAGATCATGTGATACTTGTCTTTCTCTGACTGACTTATTTCACTTAGCATGATACTCTCCAGGTCCCTCCATGCTGTCACAAAGGGTAAGAGATTCTTCTTTTAACTGCTGCACAGTATTCCATGGTATTAATGTACCACAGCTTTTTTATCCACTCATCTACCGATGGGCACTTTGGCTGCTTCCAGATCTTAGCTCTTGTAAATTGTGCTGCTATGAACATAGGGATGCATACATTCTTTCTTATTGGTGTTTCGGGTTTCTTAAGATATATTCCTAGAAGTGGGATCACTGGGTCAAATGGCATTTTCAGATTTAATTTTTTGAGGAAACTTCATACTATTTTTCATAATGGCTGCACCAGTCTGCATTCCCACCAGCAGTGTACTAGGGTTCTCTTTTTTCCATATCCTCATCAGCACTTGTTCTTTGTTGATTTTTTGATGGTAGCCATTCTGACAGGTGTGAGGTGATACCTCATGATCATTTTAATTTGTATCTCTCTGATTATCAGTGACTTTGAGCATTTTTTCATATGTCTCTTTGGCCATCTGTATGTCCACTTTGGAGAAGTGTCTATTTAGGTCCTTTGCCCATTTTTAAATTGGATTGTTTGTCTTCCTTTTGTTAAGTTGTATGAATTCCTTATATATTTTGGATATTATTGAGTCTTTTTAAAATGAGATGTAAGTGTTTTCAATCCTATATAATAAAAGCCTAATATGCAAATCGACCAAACGGCAGAAGGACCAGTGGAACAACTGGTCTCTATGACGTGCACTGACCACCAGGGGGTAGATGCTCAACGTAGGTGCTGCCTCCAGCCTGCAGGCTCCAGGCCAGCCAACACAGGTGATAGTGGGGGGTCCCCCCAATTGACCCCCTAGTCGCCTCCTGCCGAGGGAGGTGACTGGCAGTGGTGGCGGGAGGTGGGGTCAGCGAGTAGGTGGTGCCAGGCTGGCCAAGGCCAGTGCCAGTGGGGGCCCCCGACCACCCTGTTGGTCACCTCACAGATCGGCCCTGATCACCGGCCAGGCCTAGGGACCCTACCTGTGCACGAATGTTGTGCAATGGGCCTCTAGTTGTATTATAAAGCAACTCTCTTTAAGGTGACAAAACATATGGCTGTTGTGATTATTAATTTTTTAATTTATTTTGCTGTAAAAAGCTTTATAGTTTCATTTGGTCCAGAGGGCTCCAGGGTGGTTAAAAGAATGGCTAGTAGTTTTGGGGAGAGGCTCAAGGAAAAGACAGACACCAGGGGAATGCAGAGGGGCCCCTCAAAGGTGTCTGGGCTCCAAAGGCTCCTAGCAGTGCTTGAGGGTGAGCCTTTTAAAGAGATACCTTCCCAGCCTAGCCTGGGGGCCGGCCAGCCTGTGGATAGTCAGGTGATCACCCATTTTCTTGATGAGTTTAAACCTCCTCACCCAGGAAGTGGTTCTCCAGAAAGTCACAGAGCTGAGGGTCTGTGTGGCTAGAACTCAGGGCCTGCAGCTCCAAAAGGGCCTGGTTCAGGCTCCTCTTCAAGGCCAGAGATGGCGTCAGCACGTCCTGGAAGAGAATGCGGCCACCACGCTTGTTTTGCAACTTTAGAGATGCTTCTTCCAACTCACGGAAGAAGCGGCCCATGCCCTCGAAAGCCACATCATCCAGGTAGAAATAGAAGCCCAGAGAGAGGTAGGTGTGGGCGGCCGGCAGATGCAGGTTGGCCAGGCGGTTGACCGCAGCCGCCACCTGGGTGGAATAATTCTGATGAATTTGTGAACTCATGGCAGCAAGGAGTTAAGGCAGAAAAAAAACACACCGGTGTGCTGGCTGGTCCCAGAAGTGGTTCTGAAGATGGTGACTGGATAAGACGCAGGTGAGTGGCTGGAGGCTGGAAGAAGGGGTGTCCCTGGGTCTGCTCCATCCAAACACTGTTGAAGCAAGAGATAGATCCAGGACCGCGGAGGGCACTCGTGATTATTAATTTTTGATCATTTGAATCACGAACCTTGGAGGGTGATCTAATTTCCATTTTGGGCGCGTGGTGGAGGAGCGGCATCTCCCAGTATCTTCATGCCTGTGCTGGTGGAGAAGCCCAGATACACATACCCTGCATTTCATGGCGTTGGGGAATTTCTCATCTTTGCTTTGTCATTAATGAGCTGTGTATCTTTGTGCATCACTTAACATCTCTCAGACTCACCTTTCAACTGAAATTGTCACTAATCAAGCCCCAGCCATTTCCACTGAACCCTAACCCAGCTGTGTCCATCAGTTTGCTGCTGTAGATCACATTCCAGCCAGGAGGACACCAAAATGCCGACCAAGCACATAAGGATATTTCACAGACTTGTCCCCTGACTACAAACAGCAGACTGGCAGCCAATGGAAAAAAAATCATCTAGTGGTGCCAGTGAAACACATATAACTGATTTTTCTCATTGTCTAATTATCAATTTCAGTTGCTGGTTTTTATCTTTCTTTGGTTGTTTATACTTAATTTCCCTAGAACTAATTAATATAATAATTTTTGCAGATATATTGGCACTTAATAATATGGAAGGGCCATCCATTAGCAGAGCAGGCCATCCAGTGGTTAGAATAATAAATTCATACACTGCCTATGAATTTTAATTTTATAATTTTACCTCACAGAATAAGTAATTTTCCCAAGGACGCACAACTACTTGGTGGCAGAACTGTGATAATTTTGCAATTTATATTGTCTTGCATGTATCTTATGTTTTATTTATCCTATGTACCAATCTCCCTGATAATGTACTTTTATTTAGGGCAGGCCTTTGTGCCTTTATTTTTTGTACCTTTATTGCCTACCATCTTACCTAGGGGTGAAAAATCAGATGATAATAATAAAAAAAGAAAAAAATCTGAGTTCCTCCTTGCATACCCATGAGATTTTTCTCCCACTATATCACATGCAAAAAGTAAAGAGCATATTTATTATTTATTCAGCACATTATGCTTGAGGCATAACAGGTGCTGTACTGAACAAAGATCATAAAGACAAAGTTCTGTCCTAAAGACACAGAGGCCATAAGAGAAAACATACAAATGCTTGTAATGCAAGACAGAATTAAAGGAGCTGCAATTGCATGACTAAAGCAAATCAGAGAAGGGAACTATCTATCACACATTGTGGGAGAATGAGAGAAGGCTTCCTGGAGGAGGTGACTTGATCTGAATTTCAGGGATAATGATGAGCTAAAAGAGTGGGCAGCAAAGGACACAATAGGAATAAGAAGGTGAATCATTTTTGGAGAACTGCAAGAGTTTTCTCTGGGTGTGGTATATGAGGTGAAGCATACCTATGTGGAAGGAAATGGGGCAAAGCAAGGATAAAAAGTCAGGTTTGTTCCCAGGCAGCTTTGTCCGTTCAGGCTCAGGACCTTGCACTTGGTTCATCAACGTCTATGGTTTTCGCATATGAGAGTGACAACATAGGTTATTCTGCAGCGGGAGGTGGGCTCGTTTTGAGGGGTCGGAGAATGAGGCAGGCAGTGAGATAAGTCCGGAGGTGATTGCACAAGTTCAGGAACAAGGTGGGGAGCAAGTCTACCACAGGGTGGCAGCAGAGATGAAAAGGAAGGGGCAGTGTGACAGCCTCCGTGAATGACAACGCGGGAAATGCCATGGTGAGAAGAGACAAAGTGGAGATGCCAGTCGCAGCATGTATTTTTGTGCTGACCACAACTCATTAGAACTTTCTACATAAACACGGTCTCCTCATTAGACTGTGAGCTCCTGGCGGTCAGGGCCCGTGCCATCTTCACCTAGTGAATTGAACATGGCAGATATTGGGTAAGTGCTTGCTGGGGAAGTGACTGGAAGTTAGGGGATCTGGCTTGGTCATGGAAGCTGGGCTGTTGGTGTAAATAACATATTTCTTTCGGGACACCCTGGAATTTGGAGATGTGGTCTATTTTCTGATGCAGTTTCTGGGAATAGATTACAGAAAGAACTGGAGAACAATTACAAGCGGATGTATGAGTGAAGGCAACATAAAGAGGAGAGAGATGGTGTACTTGAGTACAGAGGAAATGCAATTACTGCTTTTAAGACGTCTGGTGAGGTTGGAGAGGAAGTGCAGCGTGGCACCCATCGGGGGAGACTGGACTGTGGAGCGAAGCCGGACGGATGCAGAGGACGGAGTGGATATGTGGGCAGTGTTAGCTGGTGGAAGCTGGAGGGAGGGGGAGTAGCGAGGAGTTGAGTATGCAGACTCTGGAACCACACTGCTTGAGTTCAACACTGGTTCTTCTACTGAGTCATTATGTGGTTTCAGTGATTTCACTTTCTCTTGCCTCAATTTCCTCTTCTGTCAGAGGAGGATAGTAGTTATACCTGCGTAAACATGTGTACGTGCACAGCACTCAGAACAGAGCCTGGATTGCAGTGAGCACTCCATAAACATTAATTACTCCTTTTCTTATTGGAACCCACTGTGACCACTTTGTAAGCGTTATCCCACTTAATCCTTAATCACTGTCTAGGTGGGTGTTATTATCTTCTTTCCACGAATGAGGAAACCAGTGCAAGAGGTTTCATAACTTGCTCAGATCCACACAGCTCCTGAGTGCTAACACTTCCTTAGGCTGGGTTCTCCCCCAAGGCATCTGGCACCCAGCTCAGGCACTTCCCACTGTAACAAGCTGCGAAGCGCTAGGTAGCTATGGCCAGACCACTGTGAACAATTTAGATTTGGTTACTATTCCGGAGCTGCCGCAGACCTTGGAACAAGGGGATGATGTGAGCAATCGGGTTGCTGAGGAGGCTCATCTGGCAGTCTCGTGCAAGAGGCCAGGAGGGAAGACAGGGGTGCCAGGTATTCAGACCAGAGACAGCGGAGGAAATGACGAGGCGTGGCAAACCGGAGTTGAGCTGTGATAGGAAAATGAGCTGAATTTGTGCCTGATGCAAATGAGATGCACCTGACGGTATGAGGCTGGACACTAACTGAACAGGCAGGAACGGGGATGAAGCCTGGCACTTCAGTTTGAAAGTTTCCAACACGGGGCCCTAAGGAAATACTGATACCGTGAACAGTAATGAGGAAGTCGGGAGGGGAGTCACGTCAGTCCTCGCCCTTTAAGGAAAGTGCCTGTACGGAGCCAGCTCAGAGGTTGGTGTCTGCATCAAAGTGGGGCACTTGGTTACTTTTAGTGGCGGCTTGGTTCCGATGGGAACACCCTGGTATCCCTTCACTGTCAATGCAACTGCTTTCCTTCTTCATTTAGGAAGGAAGCTGCTAGGTTGTTCCTGTCTTCAGGGAGTAGGCCGTTTTCTGCACAATTGGCAAATCGATGTGTTACCTCCTTTCAGAGAGGGGGTGAGCACCTTACCATGATAGTCCTCATCCATCAAGGTGCAGTGATTTGCTTTGGGGGAGTTGGGAAAATCAGTTCTGCTAACTTCCCGTTTTCTATTTTGGGCCTCTGAGCAGAACTTCCCATTTGAGGGGGACCAAGCAGAAAACACAAAGCTGGAATTTTCTGCTGAAGGTGATCTACCAAGGGAATAAAGTAAGTTCACGGTCTGAGGTGTTTGTCTCACCCACTCTTGATGTTTGTCCTTCAGCTGCCCTTGTCTGTATCCTCCTGGGACTGACACGAGGAAAGCCTTTTGGCCTTTTGCTGCAGGTCAGTCCCAGCGCTTTGGTGCAGAGCCCCAGGCTCTCAGGGCTCCCAACACGCTGTGCAGGCTAAGCTCTTGAGCAGGTTGGAGAGCATAGTGGCTTCCCCTTGGAAAGTGCCTAAGAATATTGTACTTTGAATTGCCTTCTTTATGCTTCCTGTCTGAACATTTTATTTTATCTGCTAGCGTAAAACGGTGAGGGAGGCAGATATTTTTAGTTTTTTCCCCCCTCCCCCCCTTTTCCCTCTTTCTCTGTTTATAATTCAACTAGAGGACCGATGCATGAAGATTTGTGCAAGAATGGGCCTTCCTTCCCCTGGCTGCCGGCACCACCTTCGCTCTGGCCAGAGCCGCCTTTCTGCCTTCGCTCCAGCCTGGAGCCACCTTTCGGCCTTTGTTCGGGCCCGGAGCTGCCTTTCCTCCTTCCCACGCTGCCCAGAGGCCCGGAGTGGCAGGGGGCTGTGAGGAATGCAAGCGTCCTGCCCTGCCCCTGGCTGCTCCACACCTGCATATGCAAATTAACCCACCATCTTTGTTGGGTTAAATTGTATACTCACTCCTGATTGGCTGGTGGGCGTTGCGAAGGTACGGTCAATTTGTATCTTTCTCTTTTATTAGTGTAGACATTATGTTCACTCTCATGATCTCATTTGTTTCCTTCATAGTACCCTGTGAGGTGACTGTTTCAATCCCCATTTTACAGAAGCTGAAACTGAGGTTTTAGTGAATTGGTGACCTGGCCAGTCTCTCAGTTAATACTCAGTCTTCTGTCTTCGGGTCTACTGTGTTTTCTTTTTCCCAGTACCACACTGCATTTCTGGTGGAGGTTGTCCTGTGCAGGATGCTGACAGAAAGGACAGACAGTCCTAGCTGGGCTGGGAAAACTGAACAGAGCTCATCCACCATAGAACTGTGTACCCTGCTTAATAAAATAGAGAATGTTAACCAAATGCATTGCCATGCAATTCTTCAAGCATATAGGGCTTTGGGTCTTTTTTGTATATGTCACAAACTTTAGGATGATGTGACTAAGGGAGTCATTCACTGTGTGAAAAAGGCATAACTAAAAAAGTCATGTGTGGGCCTCATGGTAGTTCATACCCTGTTTCTGGTGATGTGAGTTTTTCTATTGG